ATTTAAATTTAAATTAGGAATTGACTAACATACCCTTTTAATTTGAATTTAATTGTATAATTAATATATTAAAATGATTGGTTGAGATTGGTTCTCACAGTTACCACAAACAATTCAGTTCTCCCTTGAATAGGCCCATATATATATATATATATATATATATATCCTCATAGATTTTCTTTGCTGTTCAAGAAGCAAGAAGAGGTAAGATTCCGAAACAAGCAAATTAACCGAAACAAGCAAATTAAGTTAGAAATCACATGCTAAACAGAGTCGACCAAGAAGAAATCTTAGGCGATGAGGGCGGAAGAGAGAAGACGATGAGGACATGGAGAGCGTCAAGATCACTAGAGAAGGCAGTAGATAAAGAGATCGACTTTAAGGGGAGGGAATATGTAGAATTTGTTGGTTGAATACATTGATGAACACATGCAACCCTTCTTCAATTCTTAATAAAAGATTTAGTTCCAGACTTAATTACCATCAAGTCCTAAACAAAAAAACATGTACGAATAAAGTCCTCATACTGTTAAGTTCAATTAATTAGTTATAAAGTCGACATTAAAGAGGGTTATAGTCCCTAATTGTATGTAATTGAAAAGAAGATCTCTCTATAAAAAGTTGATATCCCATCATCAATAGAAAGTAAGATAAAACTACACAACAATCCGAAGAAACGTAACCTAAAGATTGGATTGCCAAGACTTGAATCACTATCGCATGGATTCAAGTACGTTTCCGCTTTCATTTTGTTACTGAGGGATAATATAATTGAAGTGTAACCTTTAATTCATTTCTTTTTGGGTACATTGACGTTTTTAAAGCTGCCCCAAATCTACATTTGTCGTCTAGCCAAACATGCCACCACTCTCACACCAGCTACGCCTAGCATGTGAAATTGGTATCTAGAATCCACGATTCATCTACATCATTGTGTAACATATTCTGTATAGATATGTTAAAGTGCAAAAAAACCATAGAATTGCAATGTATTAGAGATGTCTTCATATTTTTAGCCAATGTATTTTTTTCCATTTTCAAAATACATTTATGGTTTAAAAACAAGTTCACAAACTATTGTGCTTAATACACACATACACACAGACAATAATCAACTTCATTTTAATAAAACGTGCAAACAGAACTTTACAAAAAACAATGTATAGTAAATACATAATAATCACGTGCAATAAATAATCAAGTCTTGAAGTAATTAATTAATAAGGAAGTGGCCTAAAAAATCCAGGGATATTATTTTTTGAAATCACTGTGGTTTATATTGTTTTGTTTGGTTTGAAGTAAGAGAAGCATGGATCAGGATTATTACTGTATCGCTATCGAGTCATTTAGACTTTACGGCGACATTGAACATCATACTGAATGCCTGCTCAGTGCAGTTCTTGAACTTCACTGGATCTATGAGGTCTTTCTCGGTTCCTACAGCAACCCTCAGCTGGTCCATGTAACTCATCATCGTCACCGTAAGACTCTGCCAAAAGTTAGCATTGAACAATATGTTTCTTAGTTTGAGTAAAATGCAACAGACAACAATTCGGTGCACCCTATGAAATGGGGTGCATCAATTGATTAGTGGTAAGTGTGAAATAATGTGAAACCCTATTAGATTACTCTGATGTCAAAAGAAGGGGAATGATGATACCTGTGGAATATTGACCACCATGAAATACAAGCCTTTAACAGGTTGATTAGCGAGTGTCATCTTTTCAAGTGGCCCGATCATATTCGACACTGTCATGCTTGAATTCTTCAGCGTGCTGTGAATGTATTCAGCTGTTGCCTTTACAAGAATTACCCACACCATTTCAGTACAATTCGAAGTCATATAGAGTACATTGGAGAGCTAACAATGCAGATATATGTATATATACCTCTGGACCTCTATATCTTCTCACAAATTCAAGTAGTTTTCCAGTAAGATACACAGCAGATGAGTTCCTCTTTCTCTTAATGATATCACGTGCTTCGTGAACAAATTTAAGCGGATCCAAGGACCGTTCATATTGGTGTAGCTCGGGTATTGAAACATGCAAGAAACCAAACTTGTTTCCCCACTGAATTTGAGCTTCCTGGTTCTGAACCATCTCATCAACTGACTTGTAACCACCAATAGATCTAGTGTTGAGCAACACCAATGCAGTGGATCTTGCATTTCTTGCTTCTTCACTTGTTGCTTCCATGTATAATCTAGTCCCCAGGAAGATCATTCCGGTAACTACGTCATTTATTGTCTGTTTAACAACAAATTAGTATTAAGAAATACAAGACAAATGCAACAGGTTGAAAAACATACAATTACTTTTCAGTCCCCCATATCTATTGAAGCATGAACCCTTATACAAGCTCAAACCAATTAGACACCACCCGTGTAATTAATATTAACCAATAATGAAAACTACGTCACCCATCAAAATTAATTTTGTCATAAATAAATGGGAGGGAACGGGTGAACCTAGTTACCTACCTGTTAAGTTCTATAATCATTAACTCTTTTACTACTTCTCTCCTTTTTCTCTTTTCTATATCAATAAATTCATGCCACTCGATTTATTACCGATTCAACAACTTATTGGACCATGAGCATGCATTACTTGAGGAAAACACTTAATTCTATAATATCAATTTTATAAAAAATTTAAAGTGTAAAAATGTGTTTCACTATAAACATTTAAGTACCAGAGTAACCGGTTGAAGCATTAACAATACATAATAACTAATTTTAGATTAAGATATCCACGTCAGCAAATAATATTGAGTTGAAAACCACATTATTTGTCATACCAGCATGGTAACCAGTTATAAGTTTGTTCCCATGTATGAAAAGATCCTTAGTTGATAACCCATCGATTATTTTTATAAAAATACTTAAAAGGTACTATATAACTTCTATAATATGTTAATGTTATAACCTGCAAAATATCCTTCTACAAAGTGTTTTTCAAATAAAACTAATATGAATTTAAACACCATATGGCCATTAAATAATTCTAACACAACATGAGGTGTTTCTTGAAAAGGCTCAATTAATAATGCTTGGTAGGATATAGTATTACTCATACTATAAATAGTCTCCAAAATTAAAGGTGACCATAAATTGTCTTTAATGAGATGGGTCTAAAATATATGGCTGATTTATATAAAATATAAGATGTATATTAAGAAAAAATATTATCAAAAAACCTCAATAAGCTGGTTGAAACAGTTTTTCAAAAGAATAATTTATAAGTTTAGTTTACATCTTATAACCAAAAACCTATCATTTCAGTCAATTATATTAAGACATATCCAACTTTTATTTTTGTAAATTTATTTAATTTATACTCGTATTCTTTATATTCGTATAAGTCTGGACAAAAACATATATTTAGGACACGAGATTTTATCAACGACGAAAACGGGATGATGGATCTATCATATATATTGAGATTCGCCTACTCTTTATGTTACTCTATATCCGTCATTTTCCGAATTATCCGACCTCATATTTGTATCGACTTCCACCGATTTTATTTATTCGAATTTTTTAAAAAGTTATATAGCATAAAAAGTCAAAACTACAAAATCCTATATGTTATTATGTTCTGTTTCAAATACAAAAACTACAATCATGAAAAACTTTCCTTCCCTCTCAAATTTGAATTAAGTTTAAAAATATCTCTCATCCTCATTCTTTTTTTATTTGTAGCAACTCGTATATATCCGCCCCATGTAAATTGTAATGGGATGAGATGAAACCACAAGAGCTGTGTCTGATTGGTTTGAGCTTGACTCCAAAGGTGAAAAGTACCGGGAGGTCTCAGGTTCAAATCCAATGAGAAATAAAAATCCTCTTGTGGCCATGGAGGTTCAAATGCAGTGACTCCGGACCATTTACAAAGCAGATTGTCGTTCTGGGATTAGTCGACTCGCGGGTTAGATATCCAAGTTAATAGGGATGAGATGATATGTTACAAAACCTATTTGATTGCGGTCTCTAGTTGAGGACCCTATTGAATAAAATATGCATTGAATAAATTAGGCCACCACCCAACCAATAATTATTACGTATTAAGCTATGCGTTCCCTTGTCTTAATTTGATTAAAACGTAGGATACCCAAATACCCAACTCAAGTTAAAATCAGATTTTTTGCAAAAGAAATTATGTGAACCTTCATACTTAGACTATAAGACTTGCAGTCTGTTTTCGTGAGACCCGTGAGACCACTTTTTTACACTTGAATTTTCACAGCAAAATGTTGTGAAGGTAACCTTCACAGTGTTTTTGCTGTGAAAGTTCGACTTTTTTAAACCTTCACAGTGTTTTTGCTGTGAAGTTTCAAGTATAAAAATGTGGTCTCACAGGTCTCACGAAAACAGACTGGTCTCACGTGAACCCAACCCTAGACCATAATATAGCTTATAATTAATTAAGTGGAAAGGAAATAGATGCATACCACTTGAAGGATGGACTTAATTTGCTTAATTTTATCCAAAGAGAATGTCATTGTCATTATATTGATCGGCCGGAACTCCACCCCTTCTTCGCCCGAGCGTATCGGCGTTCTACTGTCTTCCAAGAAACTACTCTTCAAAATGCTCCAACCGAAATCCAAAACCGTGTTCAGTGCGCTACTGAAGGCATGTGGTACGATACTAATTAAGCTTTTGATCTCATTATCTGGTTTGGGAGCTTTTTGAAAGCTTGGAAATGTTAAGGGAAGAGAAGGGTTGTCTGCTCTTTGTAGACAAGAGAGAAGAGCACCCATAAGAGAGAAACCATCACCAAGTGCATGGTGCAGCTTGAAAACAAGGCTTCCAGAGGCATTGCTTGTTGGGTACTTGACGATGTGAATTTCCCATAATGGTCTTGTTTGTGGGAGTGAATCCATTGCTATCTTCGATAGGTAATCATTGAAATATTGATCGTAAGATTCGGGTGATAATCCTTCAGGAAAACGAGGAACTACGATATGGTCTTCCCCCTTCACTTCGACTCTCTTCCAGTGTTTCTCACCATCTTTGTCTTCAACCTGTTCAAACAATAAACAATGGCAGAAAATATGTGAATTTCCCATAATAACCTTGTATGTAAGTTCTGTTTTCAAAAAACCATATGGATTCGACTAAATCCAATCCATCATTTCGTTATCAGATGAGTTCATAGAAATAGTAGTGGTTTTGATGTATTTAGATGTACGTGTCCTTTTTGGACTTCTATCACTCGCTATTTGGTACTTCTCTAGTTCCTACAAATCTAGCAAAAACCCATGCACCTGACGTAAACATGAAAAAGGAAATCGAGGTGATAATCACTTAGACTCTCCTGGGAATCTAAGGATATAAACATTATCACAGGGCCATAAAAACTAGTTGAATTTGAACTAATTTATCTTCAAAATAAATTCTAAGTCACTAGGACAAGACTAGTTGGATCTAACTTTGACCCCACACTGGATTCCTGACAATCTTGATGAGTACATCACAAAACTTTTGGCTAAATTTTACGGACTTTTTGACCATTTCTCGTTCAAATATTGTATGCCTGAACCTGAATGCAGATGCAAGAATCATTAAGTTCATAACCCTGATATATATAGTTCGTTTTTCTGGAACACAATAATCACCATCAACATCCTGAATGCCTAGAGAGAGACACAGACCACACACAAAGAGGTCGAGAGAGAGAGCATTGATATATAGAAGTAGGAATGGTAGAGTTTACCATAATGGAAGAGAAACGAGTGTTGATGGGGAGAAAGACATCGTTAATGAGTGCAATGCTTGATGAGTCATCAATGGGGTTGTCAAACTCCAAGACGCCAATGACAGAAACGCATAGCACCGAACTGTTGAAGTACTGGCCAGTCGGGCTCACCGGCTCTGACAATTCTACATCTTCCATGCCTCCTACCTTCACCTTCAACGCCATGTCCATCTCACTCTGTGTGTGTGTGTGTGTGTGTTAATTTTGCAGCTAAATGCTCTAATAACGTCTTAAGCTTGTATATGACCAGCTTAATAAGTACATCCGCACTCGGTGTGTGGTCACTTACTCAGTTTTGTAAATCTGTAGCCTTAGATTCTACGTTATTCAAGAAAGTTGTTCTTCACACCAAAAACTGTTGAATTTGAAGCAGTGTGTTATGAGGGTTTGTGCGTCATGCTTAAAGGTTGTGTCTTGTTTCTGGATTGAGAGAGTTGGTGATGGAAAAGGGATGAATCTGAGTTAAGTTTGGCACATGCGTAGTAGGTGGCCGTCTAATTAAAGCAATGTATTTACCCTTACATGGAAGCATTTATTAGTCCATAGAAAAGACTTCATTTACTCGGTCCTATGCCAATGTTTTTTTTTTTACTGTTTTCCTTACAAACTTACTATAAATGTATTCATGCAATGCAGTGAGATATATGCGTAATGCAGTAAGATATATCATGATTTTAATATTTTATTTTTTATCTCAGTCGATGTTATAATATGATCTTATGTGTTTTTGAAAAAACGATGATGTTTTTATTGTTTATTAAAATATAAATTTGAAGATATCATGAAAATTTGACAAGAAATATATCATTATTAGTATCAAATTAACTATTTAAAATTCCTCATTTTTTGTGTAATTTTTAATTCAATTCTTTTATTATAATTTAATTTAGCTTCAATAATGTAGTAATTTATATTTGGTTTAATAATATAATTTTCTTATAAAGATAATAGTTAATTATTTTGTTAGAACTCGATGATTATCCTAATCATATATTAGATTTTATATATTTTAAAATGAGATGTTTATCCTTGATTATGTTTATCTACAGTTACTTACTCGAATTCAAACATAGAGCTTTGATAAGTTGTGCGTGTTCATAATTTACTTGTAATCTTTAATTTTAAGTAATACGCATCAATATACGGTACTTCATGCATAAAAAATGGTTTTTAAGAATTTTGTCAAATGTTTTATAATATAGTATAGATACTTTAATTTCAAGTCTTATTTAACTTTTGAGTTTGATAAATTATAAGATACAAGATAACCTTTTGAAAAGTTAATTCACCTAATTTTTGTTATTAGTTAGTTTTCCAAATCATGTGATAAAGTTTTACGTTTATTAACTAGTTTTTCAAGTATAGCCAAGGAATAGCAATATTTTTTTTATTAACTTGGATATCCAACATGCTATGTGATCCGACTAATCCCAGGGTAACTGTCTGCTTTGCAGAGGAGTCACCGCATTTGAACCTCTGTGGTAACAAAGGGGATTTTTATTCCTCCTTGGATTTGAACCTGGGACTTACTGGTACTTTTGACCTTTGGAGACAAGCTCAAACAAATCAGACACCACCTTTATTGTTAAAGTTTTTCGTCATAATTAAATATCTATGATGATTACAATCAATCTTATTAAATTATATAAGCATTATTAATGAATATTTGAATAAATGTACTAATTGATACGTCTTTTTGAAACGAAAAAATGGTAAAGTTTTTTTTAAGTAAATGAAACTACACAACCTAGCTATGTATAGCGTCTTTTCAAAGATGAATTGCAGACATATTTTGATTCCTATTTTAAGAAAACAATTTCAAAAGCCTATTTTTGGAGATCGTAGTATATTAATATGTTTTTACGTAATTAAAAAAAATATCATATATAGTATTATGGGAAAAGGGGGACACGTGTTATAACTTTGTACACAATAATTGATTTTGTAAATTATTATGTTTCTTGTTTGATATGTTTATGGATGTTCATGATGGGTTCAATTCGTTGGATTCGGTTAGTAACAAAATATGGACTGAACCATACGTTAAATCGCGCGAAACCGAAATAAGGCGGCTATCCGGGATTTGATTTACGGTTATCGAGATCTATGAGATGAAATGAGGATCGAAAATGAAACAACATGAAGGTTCCATGAGATGAGAGAATTCAGATTCACGAAAGGATGAGAGGTGGAGAATTGGAGAATGGAGTGGTGAATCTAATTCAAGACGTCTTTTAGGTTTAGGTTAAGTAATAAATAAATAATAATATTTAATCACATATATATTCGGGTCGAGTCGAACACCCATAGATACATATTATTCAAAAGTGAAAACCGATCCTTGGATACCCAGTTATTTTGCTTTTCGGTTTTCCTGCTTTTTTTAGTAGCCCTAGATATGTCTCTTCATGAACAACAATAATTAGATTTTGGAGAGTGGCTTCCCCAAATAAAAACCAAAAGAATTAAGTTCTATTTTGAAATAACTTGTGTTTAGTTTGTATTTATTCTTGCCTTCTCTTCTCTTCTTCCTTTTCTTTCTTTTTTCTTGTACTCTAATTTCCCATACCAAAGGGGGAACGGTGACATACGTCTTTGATGGTAGAGCCTTGAATCCATTGTCATTAATGTAGATTCCAATCGATCAAGTTTTGATATTAGTATGTTAATGTTATGATCAAATTATTGTCGTTGAGAAAAAAATGTGCAAGCTTGATTGCAAATAAATTTTTGATTGTAAGGGTTAGGGGTTTCATATCACACGGTCCCAAACCTAGTGAAGTTATAAACTCTATGAACCAAAACACAATATATGATATTAACGGCCAACAAACAATGTGAAAGACATGTAGGATTCAAACCCTATGAGCAAGCTTTTCAATTGCAAGCCTTAAACATATCAGAAAAAGGAAGGCTTTGTGGAAGAGAACAACAAGGAGAAATGAAAGGAAGAGGCAGAGGAAAACCATCAACACCAGTGCAATGTTTTCATTATCAAAAGTTTGGATATATAGTAAAGTACTGTAGAAAGAGAATAACAGAGGAGAGAGATAACAGTTTCATCAATATAGAAGATAGTGATGATACCATGTTCATGATATTCAGTATTTAAGAAATTCCAGTAGATAAACATGACAGGAAACAAAGAGATGTTTGTTCATATTGATGAAGCTCAAATGAAGAGGTCAGAACAAATGATGATAAGAGATTAAATGTACAGGGAATAGGAGATATCATGGTTGATACAATGCATGGACAGAAGAAAATTCCAAGTGTTTAATATGTTCTAGGGATGAAACACAATCATCTCAGTGTAGGATAACGTTTACATAAAGGATATGATCTACACTTCAAGGATGAGATATATAAAGTAAAGGATCGCAATGGAAGCATAATTGGTAAGATCATATGACAGGTAATAAAATGTTCCCACTTAATTAAAAAGAAAACATTTTGTATTCTTTAAATTCTTCCACCAACTAGAATTCCCTACTGTGGCACCACAGATTTGGCCATGCAAATCTTGGCTATCTAAGTTATATACAAAGGCATAACTTAGTTAAGGGAATTCCAAGTTTGAGCAAAATGGAAAAAGCATGTGAAGCATGTATGCTTGGGAAACAAATCAGGGAATCTTTCCCTTAAGAAGAAGCCTGGAGAGCCACTAAGCCACAAGAGCGTATCCATACAGATGTGGGTGGACCCATGAAAACTCCTTCTATTGGTGGAAACAGGTACATGCTCATCTTTATAGGTGACTTTAGCAGGAAGTTATGGGTGTATTTCTTAAAGGAGAAGCCTGAGGCTTTTTAACAAATTCAAGATCTTTAAAAATTATGTTGAGAAGAAAAATGGACACTTGATCAAAACTATCATATCAGATGGTGGGGTGAATACAACTCTACCTATTTCTTGGATTTTTTAAAACATAATGGCATCCATCATCAGGTTACTACTAGGTACACCCCACAGCAGAATGGGTTAGCAAAAAGGTTAAATAGAACCATAATTGAGAAGGTTGGGAGTATGCTAAAAGGGAAAACTTGGATAACACTTATTGGGGAGAAGTTGTGGCATGTGCTTGTTACTTAATTAACATGACATCTACAAAAGGCCTGTCAAATATGACTCCACAAGAAGCATGGAGTGGATATAAACCTTCTGTGGGGCATTTAAGAACATTTGGTTGTATAGATTATTCTCACATACCTGGACAAAAGAGAAGTAAATTAGATGATAAGTCAGAAAAGACTATATTTGTTGGATACAGTGACCGATCAAAGGCCTACAAGCTCTACAATCCTATAACCAAAAGGATTATTATTAGTAGAGATCTAGTGTTTGAAGAAAACAAAAGTTGAAATGATTCACCAACTGAGGAAGGAAGTAATGCTCAGATTATAAAAAGTGACGAAGAGAAAAAGGAAAGTAATTTGAGTCAAGGAGATGATGACCCAACTTCTCCTACATTAGGTACTCCTATAACATCTACACTCCTACCTCATCAAGTACATAAGCATCTACCTCTGAAAGCCCTCCAAAAAGAGGATATAGAAGCTCGAGGGACATCTACAATGACACAAGGAGTTTGGAATTTAATGATACAACATACTTTGTTATGTTCTCTGATGCAGATCCAGTAACTTTTGAAGAAGACTGCCAAGAAGAAAAATGGAAAGAAGCCATGAACAAGAAAATGGAAGCAATTATAAAGAATAACACTAGGGAACTTGTGAATCTTCCAAGTGGTCACAAATCAATAGGGGTCAAATGGATTTATAAAACAAAGTTAATTGAAAGAGGATAAGTGGGAAGGTAAGGCAATATTGGTGGTTATTACCACTAAAGGGCTTTTTGGTATTTTTCCTTTTAATAGTTTGTTAGGTTCTGTTTTATTGTAGTATAAATACTCTTCTTCTCTGTTATCAAGATACTTTTGCTTTCCCAATTTCTACTTTTGTAATATGGTATCAGAGCTTCTCACGCTCTCTCTGTGCGATGTTCATTACAGTTCTTCAGATCTGAATTTTCTCAACTAAAAATGGCGGATCAAAATTCTTCTACTCATAACCCTAATTCTTCTCCTAATCGTTCTAATTCTTCAATAGCAGCAATCGATGACAGATTGCATCCATATTTCTTACATCATTCTGATAGTCCTGGAATGGTTCTCGTTTCTCAACCTCTCATAGGAGATAACTATTCTACTTGGTGCAGATCTATGATGATTGCTTTATCTGTCAAAAACAAAACCGGTTTTATTGACGGATCTTTAGTCAAGCCAGACGATTCAGATCCAGTGTTGCTGAGT